GAGATTAGACTACAATGCCGGCTGTTCTGACTCACAGCCTGTATAAGTACGTTTTTTATATATAAAGGATTTGCCACTGACGATTCAAACGCGAGTTTTGAGCAGTGTAGAGTAGCACTTGTTGTTTGACATTTCTCCGATCACAAATGCAGACATGGTTTTATGTTTCGCGGCGTGATGCAACACGTAAAAAATCAGTATAAATCATTATAATCCGTAATTATGTCCCCACTGGATGCAACAAATGCCTCGTTTATAATGGGTTTTAATGTTTTTGTCTCGTCGCTCCGGCCGGACAGGGCATCACAGTATGGTAGGTGCATAACATTTCCGTCACACGCTTGAGGTATTCGGCCAATCACAACGCACTGGATAGCTGGCCAATCAGAGCACACCTCGCTTTTCAGACCAATGAGCTTTGTAAAAATCGACGCATTTCAGAAAGGCGGGGCATAGAGGAGAAACAATAATGTACAGTATGTGGAAAATAATGTGTTTTTTGAACCTTAAACCGCATAAACACATTTCATTACACCAAATACACAAAATAATGTTCTGTTTAGCAACATCATATGACCCCTTTAAAAAATATTACAGAAGACTACAGGAAAAACATAAATTATTTTTCTGTCCTTTCAAAAATATATCCACTAAACTTGGCACCATTAATCTATCAGTCTTGTCTGTCTAACCTTGTTGAAGTTGTTTTAAACATTGAAAAGACATTTTCAAGCCAACATTCAAACTTTGTCTTGACCAACATTCCTCCTCATGTTATTTATGTGAAGTCTTATTGTCAGAAAAGAAAATTGCATAAATTTCTGTCAGAGTGCTGTCAAGGGTTTGGCACGGTTTTAAAGATCTCAACGGTGGGTCATTATTTACCGTTAACAACATGCACAATTGATTCTTCCTTTATTAAGAATAAGAGTCGTTGACTGACAGTTCAATATTAACGTCTCACCAGCTCATAAATCACTTTGAGACATCTAATGATATGCATGCCAATGTAATAATATTTAATTTGTTTTTTGTTTCTTTAGAAATTTGAGCCTTCTTCAAACATGCGTCAGATGGTAACCTTGTTGAAGTTGTTTTAAACATTGAAAAGACATTTTCAAGCCAACATTCAAACTTTGTCTTGACCAACATTCCTCCTCATGTTATTTATGTGAAGTCTTATTGTCAGAAAAGAAAATTGCATAAATTTCTGTCAGAGTGCTGTCAAGGGTTTGGCACGGTTTTAAAGATCTCAACGGTGGGTCATTATTTACCGTTAACAACATGCACAATTGATTCTTCCTTTATTAAGAATAAGAGTCGTTGACTGACAGTTCAATATTAACGTCTCACCAGCTCATAAATCACTTTGAGACATCTAATGATATGCATGCCAATGTAATAATATTTAATTTGTTTTTTGTTTCTTTAGAAATTTGAGCCTTCTTCAAACATGCGTCAGATGGGGTGGATGTCCTTTGAAGGATTTGCCAGGTTTGGTTTTATTAAACTTTTTTGACAAAATAATTTGGACCAGCAGTTTCGGAAACACAATACTTTGGCAGATTTGGATAATCTGCAGTATTCATATAATCTCTGCTACATGACCGAAAGTTAATCTACCTCTCGAAGGTTTCTAATGGACAAGGACAACTTTGCCTCTAAAAACGAGGAGTCTCAAGTGAATCTGGATGAGCTCCAGTATCCGCTCTCGTACTATTACATCGAGTCCTCTCATAACACGTACCTCACGGGCCATCAGCTGAAAGGAGAGTCTTCAGTGGAGCTCTACAGCCAGGTACATCTTCAGCAGAGCTTCTCTCTTTATCCTGAACCTGATCCAGGGCAAAACACATTTCACAATGCACTCCATAAATATGCTTGACGATCGCTGCTTCACATGCCGTCCTGTTGAAGTCACCTGCAAGAGAATGTAGCTGAAACCATAGCACGTGAATGATGCCTGCAGGTGTTTATTGAGTTCATGTTTGATTTATTGGTTCTGCCGCAGGTGTTGCTGCAGGGCTGTCGTAGCGTTGAGTTGGACTGCTGGGACGGGGACGACGGCATGCCTGTTATTTACCATGGACACACTCTTACTACTAAGATTCCCTTCAAGGTCTGTTAAAAATCAGTACATGAAGAGACTTCTGTTGATTTTATGTATGTTTTCCATTGACGTAAATGCTCTTGTGGCCTGTAGGATGTTGTCGAGGCCATCAATCGTTCAGCGTTTGTGAACTCAGAGATGCCTGTGATTCTGTCAATCGAAAACCACTGCTCTTTACCACAGCAACGCAAAATGGCTGAGATTTTTAAGGTACTTGAATTTTTACACTAAATCAGAATACTTTGAATCCATCAGATGAATTAAATGGAACCCAGTTCAACCTTCTTGTTTGGCCGTTTCTTGTGGAAAGTAAACATTGTTTATTTTGCTCTTCAGACGGTGTTTGGTGAGAAGCTGGTGACCAAGTTCCTGTTTGAGAGTGATTTTGCGGATGAGCCTTTGCTTCCGTCTCCCCTGCATCTCCGAGGGAAGATCCTACTGAAAAATAAGAAGCTGAAAGCTCACCAGGCTCCAGTGGACATTCTCAAACAAAAGGTAGATGAGAGGAAAAAATACCTAGATGTATGGGGACAATACAAAACAAATTTCAAGACTATTGAAATCGGTTCTTGATTTTCAAGTCTGGTTTGTGCACAGTTTATCGAATTGTAGCAGCCACATAATCAGGCAAATTTGGCTAGCTCTTTTTTTGTTTAAATGTCCTGACTAGGTCCTGTTGTAATCTGGGGATTTTTTTCATAATTTTTATCTTCGTACACCTAAGGTAAGGCCTGTGTGCCTGAGACACCGATATATCTGCTACACAAAATACATATAATATAGCTAATTCTAAATTTAGAGATAATTTATACCATTGTTATATATATATATATATATATCGCCATATCAACCAGCCCTAAATTTGTTAACGCATTATAGACAACAGTATGAGCTTTTGTGAAACTGCTTTGTATACTGTGAAAAGCGCTATACAAATAAAATTGACTTGACTGATCTGCACTGATTGCATGAATGCGTTTAAACATTTTAAAATGTCCTTAACTGAGATGGAAGTACTACACTCATATTGGAAAGCACAATCAAATTAACCAAAATATTTAATAAACAAACATGCAAAGGGTAGGGAATGTGTGGAATTGTGTGAATGACAGACTTTCCAATTCTGTGGAAATCTGCACAGCTTTAATGTGGTCTTGACTAACTGTTAAACATTTTTAGTATCAACAACTTTGATTGAGTCCATGAAGATTCCATTTAACAAATCAAGAATGAATAGTTGAAAAGTTTTGGAACTTTTTTGTGAACTTTTCCTTTTTCAAAAGGCACATCAGCTGGCTCACATGCAGGCCCAGGCCAACAACGGCACAGTCAGTGGAACATCCCTGGGAAACAATGACGAAGAAGAAGAGGAGGAAGAAGAGTATGACTATGATTATGAGTCATTATCTGATGGTAAGCATACTTTGCATTACTCAAGCCGGTGTGTCCTTTATTCTCTTTAGTCTTATAACTCGAATGGACAGCAATTATTGGAATAGTGGAATTTTTTGTTCTGTTCACTAACTCTCTCAGGGTCTTTTACTGTTCTCACGGTGGCACCTTCACTCTGTAGCATGCTGACCTTTTTCCACTCCCTCTCCTTTCTTTCATTCCCTTCCCTCTTTTTTTTCTCCTTTTTCTTAGCTGATGTCCTCAATGCTTCCACAGCCTCTTATGGCCAGGAAGGTAAATGTATTGTGTGTGAGTGTATGTGGGTAGTTGACAAATGGACATGGTTTAAAATACGGTTTAACACTTTAGGCTTAAAAACTTGCATTTGGCATTAGGCTTTTCCCCCCTCAAATTTGTAAGATAATTAAACCAGTCATTTGTGAAAATTGGGAGACTCCAATTAGATAATGCATATATACCAGTGCATTGGTCACCACAGTGCAATTTCTGCATTTTATTTGCAAAAATTTGGTGGAAAAGTAAAATTTTGGTAGATAATTGTATGTTTGTGGACAAAATTTCTATTCTTTTCTGTCCAGCCAAATTATAAAAATTGAGGACAGTAGACGTACATGTCATGTCAACTGCCCATGTAAATGTGTGCCGAGATACCGTGTGTCGCTCTTACTGCTATATGCTGCTGGTGTGTTGACTCTGATGTTATTGCTTGGATGCAAAGCAGAGAAAATCAAAGCAGAACAATGGTGCTTATGTCTGAGGCCCATCAGGTCTGTGCTGTCTGCTTCTGCCATGAATAAATCAGTGTTTTTGAGTACAACGGTGGGTGGTACAGTGTATAAACAAAACTACCCAAACTTGCTTCAACGTTCGCTTCCAGTCCTTGGTGTTTTGAAAATGGCTCGACAAAAATCATATGAGATTTGTTTCGTCATAAGGTAAAATGCAAATCTTTGATTGCTTTGTGTGACTTCAGCGGATGACCAATTAATACCCTTTGTGATAAATCTTGGACTCCAGTGACGTCCTGACAGTGTCTGTGGGTTGCACACCTACAGAATGACTGCTACTGTGATCACAATCAAATAAAGGCCCACTAGATGGGGTTTCTAGATGTTAGGATAATCAAACATTGCTCATGATTGACAAAACTGACTGGGCGTTTCACATCAAAGACTTAAAGTTACCATGAAGTCATAATTGACAATTCTCATTTAAATTTTTATGGCATATTGCAGTATTTATAAATTTTTTATCCATGCACATTTTTTTTTCAATTCATGTGCCCACGTAATATTTAATAAAAAACATTAACATCCTCTACCCCTCACAATGACATCTCTTCTCATCCAACTTGAAGATGGTACAATAATCCCTAACCTGTCACTTAAATGATCAACCGAGCAAATCAATTCCCGATGGACAAAATCAAGTACCGCCCTACATGTCACTTGGATATACGTCACAATAGAGAAGAAAAACTTCCACAATTTCCATTTACTTTCAGATTTTAAAGGGATAGTTCACCCCAAAATGCAAACTCTATCATCATTTACATTTACCGCATGTAGTTTTAAAACTGTGTGACTGACTTTTAAATATGACTGCTTCACCTTTATGTGCTTTGCGAAGTTTTTGTTAATTTTGTATTTAGATTGTTCTTTTTTGTGTGTGTGTGTAAATCACATGTTTTGGCTGAAGAAATTTCTCTTTGGGTTTATCTAGAGAGGTTTCTTAATCTTTTTCTTTTTTTTTTGCAGACAATATTCTGGATGACAAACCCGAAGGCAAGTCATCCACTGAGAAACTTCAGTATGAGTCCAATGATGAGATGCCCAAGCGGTTCAAGAAAGCGGGAAGCAAAGGAAAGGTCTGTACAGAACTGTAACGATGAACATTTGAGTTCCTTTCTACATGAATACTTCTGTGATGGTTGTTCTTTTGTGCCCTTGCAGATGTTTGACATGGAACTAGGAGAGGAGTTCTACCTGCCCCAGAATGAGAAGGAGAGCAGACAGATCGCTCAAGAGCTATCTGATCTGGTCATCTACTGTCAGGCTATTAAATTCCCAGGTTTACATCTCATCTCGTTATTACACGAGCACAGTGAGAAAAGCTTAAAGTTCTGTCCGCCTCTGAGACACCCTGAGATATTTGGGCAAAAATAAATTAATGGGTTTGGCTGAAATAATTTCCGTTTTGGTCAAAATTATGGTGCATTTTGACTGTATCAGTGTCTATTTAGTGCACACAATATGCTGTTTTGAGTTGATGCATGACCAAAACTTTACTTAACAGTATTTATAGCATGCTTCCTATCCAGTAATCACAATAACCTACTCTTAGTTATTGCAGAAAACATACATGAACATCAGAAGGTACAGCATGTTGAAAGAAACAACTCAACTTGCTGAAATCTATCATGTCATTAATAAACGTAAAGATGTCAATAAAAGAGCTTGTGAACAATGTCACATAACATAACATTTATCTGGAAAGTAGTGCTGTCAAACGATTAATCATGATTAATCGCATCCAAAATAAAAGTTTTTGTTTACATAATATATACTTATATTTATATATAATATTAATTATATATGAATATAAATATATATATATATACATGTAAATATTTGTAAAATATATACATGTTTGTTTTGTGATAAATCTTGGACTCCAGTGACGTCCTGACAGTGTCTGTGGGTTGCACACCTACCGAATGACTGCTACTGTGATCACAATCAAATAAAGGCCCATTAGATGGGGTTTCTAGATGTTAGGATATCAGAACATTGCTCATGATTGACAAACTGACTGGGCGTTTCACATCAAAGACTTAAAGTTACCATGAAGTCATAATTGACAATTCTCATTTAAATTTTTATGGCATATTGCAGTATTTATAAATTTTTTATCCATGCACATTTTTTTTTCAATTCATGTGCCCACGTAATATTTAATAAAACAGAAAACATACATGAACATCAGAAGGTACAGCATGTTGAAAGAAACAACTCAACTTGCTGAAATCTATCATGTCATTAATAAACGTAAAGATGTCAATAAAAGAGCTTGTGAACAATGTCACATAACATAACATTTATCTGGAAAGTAGTGCTGTCAAACGATTAATCATGATTAATCGCATCCAAAATAAAAGTTTTTGTTTACATAATATATACTTATATTTATATATAATATTAATTATATATGAATATAAATATATATATATATACATGTAAATATTTGTAAAATATATACATGTTTGTTTGTGTATTTATATATGCATAATAAATATACACAGTACACACATATATTATGCAAAGCCATTCAATGTCCATAGCAAGCTTTTATTACAAACATCTTTTAAATGTTTATATTTCAGCAACGATATAAAAATTACCTCATGTTCAATGTAAATGTTTATATACAAGTCAGTTTTTATTTGAGTGTTGATTATTGAATATAATTGATTCATGAATTAATTTTTAAATAAAATTAATTTTCATTTTTGGAGAAAAATTAATTTCATAAGATTTTTGTGTGGTTCGCATATAAAGTGATTTGTGCACGCAGTCCACAACTGACTGACAAAGACCTAATATGTTGACTAGCAAAGTAGATGCAACCTCCTGATGGATGACTAAATGGTGTTGGGGAAGCTACATCTTTACAAATGTAGTCTATCAAGCTTCATTCTAAGTAGCAGTTTAAATCTGCAGTTTAAATTTACAATAAGCATTACTTCGTCTTTTGCTTATTTGTGCTACAAGGCTAATGTAAACTGCTGCAGAATTAGCTGAATTTGTCAAAAGGGGTGGGTAAATTAGATTCAGGTGTTTGGCTCTACTGGAAACTGTAATGGTCCCAGAGGCGAGTCTCGAACAAACAAACAGTAACAAGCTCTTGAGTTCTGGAGGAGCATATACCCTGCAGCCGTGACCTTACATATGTGTTTGTTTGTGTGCGTGGGAACTAGGCCTCTCCACCCTCTCCCCATCAGGCTCTGGAAGGGGAAAAGACAGAAAAAGCCGGAAATCCATCTTTGGCAGCGCTCCTGCTCGCGGAAGCCCCGGGGAGACTGTGACGTTGGTCCGAGCTCCAGGGAAAGGTATGGCCGCCTCGGTTTTTGCACGGAACTGTGCACAGGGCACGCAGGAAATAGAACACCCACTTAGAGCACCCATGGGAAAAGGGCTCTCAAGTTTTCCATTATACTGAAGTCCCTCGAAAGCACATAAAAATGCCTTTCTGCAGAATATTTCCAGTGACTGACTGTATGAGAAAACAAACATGTGCTTTTTGAGTAAGAAGCACTTTTGGAAGGCAAGTGGTTCTTTGATTTGAATCTTAAACTGATAGCTTCCTACCATCCTAAGAGAAGTGCATCTATTTTTTTTAGCAGTTTATTTTTATCAAAGGGATAGTTCACCCTAAATTGAAAATCCTGTCAGCATTTACTCGTCCTCATGACATTCCAAATCTGACTGAGAATGTTGCTCTTTTTCATGCATTTGCAATGAATGAAAGATTACAAGCTTGAATCCTATAGGTCAGCTTTATGATTCTTTTATATTGCTTTATGCAGCTTGAAAGCCTCAGTCGCAGGGGCGTCAGTAGACCCTTTTTACTGTGGCACAAAATACTGCTGTGTGGGAAAATATTACAGATAATTACAGATAATAGAGAATACAGTATACCAACCTGAGAACCATTTTCCCTGATAATATTTCAGCAATCATCTCGTGTGTTTTCCATCAGCTATTTAGAATAAGAACTAGTGATGCCAGATTAATGAATGAATCACTCTTTTCAACTATTCAGTCAAAAAGGTCTGAATTGTTTACAATTCAGTTTGATTCATTCAGACAGTTCACCCATGTGCTGAATTGTTTGTAAAATGTTTAGAAAACAAAAAGAGAACTGGATGAAGTAAAAGATAAAAAATGCAAAAAACATTCTAATGTATTTCACTGTATAATAATAGTAATAATAATAATATATTTTCTTAATCTGTTTTTATTTTACATTACAACTCTAAAATTAGAAAACTAATATATTTATTTCTTAAATTTTTTTTTTTTCAAAATAAGTCAGTCATTCAAGTTTTGAACAAGGTTTTTTTTTTGTTTTTCTTTTTATAAGTGAACTATTCCTTAAAGGGGTCATATGATGTTGCTAAAAAGAGGCCGGAGGGCTAGAGTGAGCAGAGGCGGCAGGCTTGAGAATGGCGTGGCCGGCGGATTCGACGAAAGAGCGTCCGGAGGGCTACAGATCTTCTTTATGCACCAAGAGCTTGTAACACTCCAAAGAGAAAGGATAAATTGAAATCGCATCATATGACCCCTTTAAACAACCATATGCAAAACCCAAAGCCTGCTTGATATGTTTGTAGTTGCAGACTTTCCCCTTCTCTAAACGTGCTCTGATTCTGCTTTTGTCTCTTTGCCAAATCGTTGATGTGACTCAGCCTCACATAAGATATTTATTTAACTATCTCATAGTGCTTAGTTTCACTTTTAAACAGTTTCTGTGAAAGAAATTGTAGGTCCTTTCGAGTTGCAATAGCAACTTAATATCAAATCAGTGTTTTTGGTTCTTCTGCAGCCAGTCTGGAGGGCATTCGGATGAACTGGGAGGAACAAACATCGTTGACACTGAGCCCGAGCACCTCTCTCAGCTCCATCATCCGCACACCCAGATGCTACCATATCTCCTCTGTCAACGAGAACGCTGCAAAGCGTCTGTGTCGCCGCTACTCCCAGAAGCTCATCCAGCACACCAGCTGCCAGCTGCTCCGCACGTACCCTGCAGCCACACGCATCGACTCCGCCAACCCCAATCCTCTCATCTTCTGGCTGCACGGAATCCAGCTGGTTGCCCTCAACTATCAGACTGATGGTAAATAGTGAGATCTGCTGCTCAGCCGAGATTCATCAGGACAGGAATTAAATCAGTGTAAATGATAGTGATAGACTGATATATTGACCACGCTGATAGATCAGTCGGGCCATTTTTATAGTGTTTTCCTGAAGTTGTCATATTAGTGGGGGGAAAAAAACATCCAAAAATACACTTTTAAAGGTTTATTTTATTGCACTTTATCTATTTGCATTAATTATGATGCATATTTTTAAAAGCTGTTTTCTCAAAATGATTGCACTGGGCCAGAAATCTCCACTACACACCACTTACATGCACCAAACTTTACAGTTTTGTTTCCTATCTATATTCTGAAGAGGGGTTTGTTCGTATATCATTTGACTAATTTATATAACATTTATTCCTAAGAACATGGTGAATGTTTGTTTTTTTTTGGCTGTTACCTGCATCCATTCTAATTTATGGTGTGATAAAAAAGACACCTGAAATCCCCTTTGACTCTAATGTCAACAAAATGAAAATAATTTTGTACCCGACTTTATCCAATGTTTAAATTTGTGCATATATAATTAGATAATGCCTTATTTTCACATTTAAACAACATTTAAGAAAACTTGTAATACCAAAAAAATTTGCAATTCTTAATCAACTGGGGAAGTATAGCAATATCTATTACATTTTTACCTTATTCACCTGGCATGTATTGCCTTAAGAGATTATTAATTAAATGTACTATTTTATTTAAATTAAACCAATAAATAATACATCAATTATTAAATATAACCATTTGCTTTTGTAGTATGCCAGGAAAACAGCAGTTTTTATTTTAAATAATACTTTACATTTATTTCATGTACCATTTCACTAGATAGGACTCATGTTTAATCTATAAATATAAATATTCAGATATGGTGATAAGCATTATTCTAAAGATTATTTCAAGAAATCTTTCTTGAGAAAATAATTTGTTTGTGGCTGGTATGTTCTCCTCTAGATCTGCCCATGCAGCTGAACGCAGCTCTGTTCGAGGCTATTGGTCACTGTGGTTATGTGCTGAAGCCCCCGGTCCTGTGGGAGCGAAGCTGCCCTCTCTATCAGCAATTTTACCCTCTGGATCGAGACCTGGAGAACATGACCCCCACGCTCTACACTCTCACTGTAAGTATCCCATAGTCAGAAACTCAAAACTACTTTTAGCTAATCTAACAGACATTAATTAATTCATGTGCACACAGATTGTGTCGGGACAGAATGTGTGTCCGGGGAACTCGAACGGAAGTCCCTGTGTGGAAGTGGAGGTGTTGGGCATGCCGGCAGACAGCTGCCATTTCCGCACCAAGCCTATACACCGTAACACACTCAATCCCATGTGGAATGAGCACTTCCAGTTTCATGTGCACTTCGAGGATATGGCGTTTCTGCGCATTGCTGTCGTGGAGAACAACAGCTCACAGGTCACCGCTCAGCGGATACTGCCCCTCAAAACCCTCAAACCAGGTAAAGAACTCCTAATAGGAGCATAGTGTAATTACTGCTGTGCTGATTATTGATCGACGACTGCAGCCTGCTTTATAGATGATCTTCAAAATATGCATTTTACATACTGTACACTACCGTTCAAAAGTTTGAAGTGACTGAGATTTTTTAAAAGGTGTTTGAAAGAAGCCTCTTTTGCTCATGAAGGCTGCATTTATTTGATCAGAAACAGTAAAAACAGTAGTATTGTGAAATAGTATTATAATTTAAAAGAATTGTTTTCTATTTGAATATATTTTAAAATGTTTCTGCACTGATATTAAGTAGCACAACTGTTTTCAACATTGATAATCAGAAATGTTTCTTGAGCAGCAAATCAGCAGATTAGAATGATTTCTGAAGGATCATGTGACACTGAAGACTGGAGTAATGATGCTGAAAATTCAGCTTTGATCGCAGGAATAAATTACATTTTAAAATATATTACAATATAAAAGTTATTTTAAACTGTAATACTATTTCACAATATTGCTGTTTTTACTGGGTTTTTTTGAGCACATAACTGCACCCTTGGTGAGCAGAAGAGACTTCATTAAAAACATTTAAAAACAATGAATATATAGAATTTTAGAATATTATAATATATATGATATATATGTTGTATATTGTATAGAAAATATACATCATATTATTAATTTAGCTTGAGATTACTCCATTTGACCATTTACTGATGAGTAAAACATTGTCTGATGTATTTCATTTGCTTTCTGTTGATTATTCCAGGCTACAGACACCTGCAGTTGAGGAACCTGCACAATGAGTCTCTGGAGATCTCTAGTCTGTTCATCTTCAGCCGCAGGACGGAGGAGAGTCCCACCGGAGGACCACTGCCTGTGTCTGTGGTGAGACAGCATTCATAAACCACACAGCTGTCAGGATATTTGTGTTACATGTAGTAGTGGAACTAGAAAGCAGTAATAAAACAGTTTACATTCGTGATTTCTCTATATGTGCCTTACAGTCCCACAGGGGAGTGGACTGCATGTTTGAGAAAACATTGTGCAAATATTTCTAATGTTTTTAAAACTCTGGAATGTGCTGCATTCCTCTCCCTCGGTCCCTGTCATCCCAGTGCAGCCTAGTTTTGTTAAAAACAGGAAATCATAAAGACATAGATATGCTACTGTATACAGAAGTGCCATGCTACTGGAAAAATACTGAAAAAAAAGAAAGAAAGAAAGTGAAAAATGTTCCAGGGGGAAATAAGGGTCTCTCTCAGAAATTTCAGAAATAATTAAAAAGAAACAGCCAGTAACATATTGAAGTAAACATGACAGTTTGAAGCAGAAAGACACAGATAGTATTTTCTTGTAAAATGTACTCCAATAATCTTCATTTACAACTTCAAAAATAATTTTTACAGTATATTTGCGTGTAAAAAAATTATTATAAGGATCGTAGGTAAAAAAGTGTGTAAATTACTGTGGCAGTAGTAGTTTAACTCAAACTTGGGTAAAGTTGTTAAAAGGTTTTTTTTGGTTGTATCTTCTCTTGCATGTGTTCGTCGCAAACATACAGTAGGTGCATGACACAGCAGACTGTAAACACAATGTGATTGAATCATTTTATTTAGTTAAACTGTCAGGAGTTGTTTAATAGCTCTGAAACAATATTAATAACCTGCTCTTTTGTTTAATAGCCATATGTTTTGGAATGTGAACTCTGTTGTCGTTTTTCCTCTCAGCTGTTCAGCACGGAGGAAAGACGCGCCGCCCAGCAGCACAAAGTGACAGTGCATGGAGTTCCAGGCCCTGAACCCTTCACCGTAATGTGTGTTGATGAATACACCACGGCCAAGCAGCTCCTGGACTCTGTAAGTGTCAGCGCAACAGAACCGAGCCAGTTTAGACAGGTTAGCACACACCAGAACACTGTTAAGTGCAATGAACCAGAGGACAGGGTGCAACTACTGTCGATGAAGTAGTGTAAGTATTCTGTGTGTGGTGCCATCAGGGATTCAGAGTTCTCTTGGAATTCTTGAGAAGTTATTTTTATGAGTTCTGAAATTATGTTTCGGATTAACCCTTGGAAGTTCATCCAGTTGCCAAAGCGTCCTCCTCTTGGAGAATGATTGTCATCCATTCTCTCATTAGGAACAAATTACTACTTGAAGTAGTGTTCACTCCGGTGTTTACTGGTCTGCTTCACATTTTCATCATTCCTCAGCACATAAACACGTTTAAATAGTCTCTTTCTTGCCAGTTATTTCCGACTACCTCCTTCAACTACTTCCTGATGGAGGAGAAAATGCCTCTGTGCAAGGAGAAGAGCGAGTCGAAGAGAGCACCTCAGCAGCGCCCCCTAGCGAATGATGAACGGCTCCTGAGAGTTACTCACAGCTGGCAGCCGCAGGAAGGATATGTGGGCAGAATGTACCTGAAAACCAAGGAGGAGGTATAACCCTTTTGCCAGATTGTGCTTGCTTTCATTGAATTACATCTCTAAGGGTCATTCCTGTTATGCAGTTCCTTTTCAACTTTAGAACTTTTGAAAGAGGAATAAACTACCATCAAAAAGTTTTGTTGGTAATTTTTATTTTAACTGAAGTCTCTTATGCACACCAATAAAAATTCAGTAAGAATAGTCATATTGTGAAATATGTTTTTTACAATTTAAATAAAATGTTGTCTATTTGAATGCTTTTAAATCTAATTTATTCCTGCGATACAAAGCTGAATTAACAGCAGCCATTACTCCACATTACTTCAGTGACACATGATCCTTCAGAAATCATTCTAATATGCTGATTTGATGCTCAAGACACATGTATTATTATTATTGTTAAATGTTGAAAACAGTTTTTGCATAAATGACTTGACCGTTAATAGGATATAAAGACAAGATGGCAAGTGAACTAAAAACTCTTAACTGGCTACCAATTAAAACAGTATTCCCAAGAAAACATTATTTTTTTTTGGTTAAAGAAAATCAGTTTATTAAGAAATACTGCAAGTGTTATGTTAGAAGCACCCAGCGATGTGACAGAAACACCCATTTATAGGATATTGGGATTAAAACATAACCGAAAAAATAACCCTGAAGGATTTCCAATATATTTAGGCAACATAAACGTAACCCATACAGACTTCATAAAATAGCCACACCCTTTACTTTTGTTTATTCGTTCAGCATTTGATTCTTGATCTGTTGCTCCCCCTGCTGGCTGATAGCAGAACATCAATGAGAAGAATACGGTGATGGAGGGGGTGGAGGAGGTGAGCAGCGGAGAGGACGACACGTTCCTCGTGCAGGTTCATGATGTTTCTCCTGAGCAGCCTCACACGGTCATCAAAGCCCTGTGTTACAGCACCGCCCAGGACATCATCCAGCAGGTCAGAAGATCACTGCAACTTCACTGAAAGATTTCTTCTCTGTCATGCTAATATCACAATATCTAAGCTGCTGTTGTCTGTCGTAGACTCTGAGCAAAGCAAAGTACTCTCTGAGCATCCTGAGCAACCCTAACCCATGTGACTACGTCCTGATGGAGGAGGTTACTAAAGACGCGGGTGGAAAGAAATCATCCTCGGCTAAACAGTGTCAGCGTGTGCTGCAGGACCACGAGTGTGTGTTCCAGGCTCAGAGCCGCTGGAAGGGTGCTGGGAAGTTCATCCTCAAACTCAAAGAGCAGGTAAACACTTATTCATGTGAGGCTGAAGGCCTATAATGTTTTAAAACATTATGTTTTAGTCTGTTAATAGCATTTTTTTTTTTTTCCGTGAACCGTCCCTCAGATCGCTCGTGAGGACAAGCGCAAGGGCGTGTCTTTTGCCAGCGAGCTACGGAAGTTGACGGGTCGGAGTCGGAGCTTGACTGTGAACACGAACACGAACGGTCCAGCAGCTCAGGAGCCGACACACAGTAAGGAAGAGAAGGCTGCATGTCCCAGCATGGTGCCTCTGCCAGAGGCCTCGGAGTGAAGGAACGCTGTGCAGTGTGTGTGTGTGCAGTGCATGGAGCTCCCACAAGGTACTAGACACTAACACACAGCAGACATTAAGATTATACAGTCAGTCTGAACTCTAAGAGGGTCCTGGATAAAACTGTCTTGAAGGGAATAGTCCAAAAATGAAAATTTGATGAAACTGTGCTCATCCATACAATGTGATTTTGTTAATCGGAACAGATTTGGAGAAATGTAGCATTACATCACTTGCTCACCAAAGGATCCTCTGCAGTGAATGGGTGCCGTCAGAATGAGAGTCAAACAGCTGATAAAAACATCACAATAATCCACACCACTCCAGTCCATCAGTTAACATCTTGTGAAGAGAAAAGCTGCATGTTTGTAAGAAATGGACTCTTATTCCGACGGCACCCATTCACTGCAGAGGATCCATTGGTGAGAAAGAGATGTAATGCTACATTTCTCAAAAAATCTGTTAGGATGAAGGAACATTGAAAATTTTCATTTTTGGGTGAACTTTTCCTTTAATGGTATGATTTAGTCAAGGTTAGATTTTTGTATGGTATCCCAAATGCTAGTTGAGCAGAGCTACCTGATGTTTAATGTAAAGAGATTGCTGTTTTTTAACTGTGTTATTAACTGTTCTTAATTAACTGAGCATCATGTCTTTAGCAGTGAAAACATGATTAATGGCATGTAGTAGTTAATAGACCTCAATCAGGGTTGACACCATACACAATTTGCTGCAAATGAATATGAGCCTGTTAAGGACTATGGTGTTTGTCATTCAGTCAGAAAAAAAAGGTGTTTTTTGTTTTGCAAATTTATGGCTTGTGAAAATTAGACAAAACCTTAGGAGCTTAGGTACAACATCTGAAAAGACTGCATGCGTGTTCCTCACAGCCTCGCGTTCATTCATGTCAGCTGACACTGAAGACTGGAGCAACGATGCTGAAAATTCAGCTTTGCATCACAGGAATAAATTACATTTCAAAATGTATTAAAACAGAAAACAGTTAATTTAAATTGTAATAATATTTTACAATATTACGGTTTTTGATCAGATAAGTGCAGCCTTGCTGAGCATGAGAGACGTCAATAAAAACATTTAAAAATCTTACCAACCTCAAACCTTTAAACAGTAGTGTAATAATAAAATAGTTACCATGTAATAAAAATATATTTTTTTAATTAAGAAAATTCATTAAACAAAACATCTCTACAAACACCTTCACTCTGCATCAGAAATATTGTGATCATGTTTTTTTTTTCTTTTCATTGGAAAAACTGAAACTTCAGGCTCATCGTGAAGCGTTGTGGTGCTGGAAGAATGAATGTTCCCGTCGGTCTCTTTTCAGGGTCTCTGTCGATGGGGCTGAAGGCCTGGATGGCTTGGGTTCTCAGAGACTGTGTGCGGTAAAGCCCAGTGTGTCCCAGTGTGGCGATCGCACCCCTGTCCCGTCCACCGGGACCCTCCCGCTGCTGTGGAACTGGAAGCTGCATAAATGAGTCCAGACCCAGAGCAGCACCGCTAGTGTTCACTACTCTCACGTGAGTGAGATACAGTCCAGCCTGATGGAGAGTGGACGCCGTTTGAGCTCGTCCCGTGCAGAACACGGTGGCCTGGGTGAGTTAGGCTTGCTGAGGGGTCGAGGATAGGTTTAGTCAGTTCAGCATGTTACTGAATGTCAGATGAATATACTTCTCCTTTTTAAAGAGTACTGCAAGTGATGAATGCGTTTATATGCATTTCATTTTTTATTTGTGGTTTTGCACATTAGTCCAGATATTTTGAAAGCTTTTTTTAATACTTTATTTACATCCATTTTTTTGGATTGCTGAAATTAAATCAAGCATAAAAATGCTCCCAGCACATTAGTGTAACTAATTTTTTTTTACTTCTAAACCTTGAGTTCTTTTATGAATGTAAATATGGCGTGATTTATTTAGAGTTCAGAGCAAATGTGCACAAGATGTTGAGAAAGATGCAAGACAGATTTGTTCTGCATATTTTAGCAGCTAATTGTATTTGATTGCTTTCATTGCACACGTCCTGGACTGCATTTTTATGACCAACAGCAAAAAATGCAAGATGTTGAGGGGTACCTTTCTATAAACTGCCACGAATCTATTTACAGTATTACAAAAACAAGCATTTGAAGAAACATCACTTTAAATGATTTTTAAAAAAAATGTATATATGTTACTGATTTCCTTATTTTATTACAGCTAGAAAAAGTTTTTTTTTTTAAACTATTTATTTCAATTTTGTTTCTTGCATTTATGGAGAGCTGAAGATCTTCACTGGCACTGTAGTGCTTGTTTTGGAATATTTTAATTTAAAATCAATACAATTTAGAGGTTTATATCCCATTTGACCTTTGTAATTGAATGCCAGTTTTCTTTTTGTGTTAGATTAAATGTTGCTATTATATATATATATATATATATATACACGTGTGATTTTTAAACTCACTGCATAGCAGTTGAATCACCTAAAGCAGACCTGCATTTCTTTTGCTTTTAACTTTAAGTGGTCCATTTTCTTTCTTGAAGTGAAATCTTTCCTAATTTATTGAACATTATAGCCCAGGTTGGCTGTACTTTTCCAGATGTGTACATATGAACGAGAGTACATAATTATGAAATCTGCATTAATTTATTTGTGAGGGCATGAATGTTCCTCCAGCCTGTTTGTACTGTATTAATGTATAATGTTAGTAATTTAGATGTTTAGCACCGTCTTGAGAGAGATTAAATATTTTGACACTTAAGTGGTGAATGTGGGCACCATTGAAGTGTACTTTGTGTGGTCCACTACAGCATTAATATCGTTTCAGTGTATATTTACCATTGCTTTGTTTTGAACAAGCAAAAGTGTGACACGATGCTGTTATTTTAGGTGATTAACTATCAATCTAAAACTTCAGTCTGTTTGGAGTTTAAAACGTGCTGAAAACCATCACTAATAGAAAGTTCAACATACGTAAAACTCTAGGAATGTATCAATATTTTGATGTAAATATTGGGTTGTTTACTCGAAACAATCGATTCAACCACATTCATCAATAAACTGTTGAGAAATCCATGTTTGGTGAAACGGATACTTTTACATCACTGCCAGTGCTAAATTGTCTGTAAAGACATTGCTGGTATCTTGGAGATAAAACATTTATTTTACACAAGCGGATACAAAACAGCATTTCAGCTCTTAATTTCAGTGGTGGACAGTAACGAAGTCGTTTTACTTGTGTCTGTACTTTCTGCTGAGCAGCAAACTTCCTCACCATGGGGTGACAGTGTCTCTGAAAGAACCACCACAGATCACAACCTCTTACTTTAGTTTTGTTAATATTTTGAATTTGATTTCATTTTTCTATTTTGTTTTCACTTTCAGTTAAAGCTTTAGAATTTTTTTTTAAGTAAATATCTATACAGTTTTTTTGTTTTTATTTATTAGTTTTAGTTATTTTAAGTAAAAATTTTAAATACTGGTAAATGTTGCCTTGGCAGCTAGCCGACCTAAAATAAGTTTAAGTTATGTATTTTGTTTTTTTAATGTTATGTTTGTTTTTCAAGTAACATTTTTTCTTTATGGTTTTAGTTCTAACAATACTAACCCTGACCACAAATTAAATTAATATAATTTGTAAAGTCTCTTAAAGGAGCAGCTGCTGCCATTTGAATCAGGAATGCTAGTCATCCAACAACTGACTAGTTGTTTGAATTTTTCTTTCTAGGTTTTAAAGTTTATTTGAGCTTTTATATTTAACAGTACATGCTAATGTTGAACCCAAGGCTGTTTTGTTACATTTTTATTTGATTATAACTATTAATTGCTTAATTATTAATTATGTAATATTCATAATTTGAGTTAAACATGTTTATAAAGCAGGTGTATACTAAACAGGGAATTGTAAGAAATGTAATGAGTGTGGTTGTGATTCAGATGGACCAAATTCTGACACAAGTAGCAAATCATGGACAATAATCGATGTATTTTTTTTTACTGTTTATATAAGTACATTTATTTTGGGAAGCTTTATCATGTTGCAAAGCATGATATCACACTTTTTAACGCCACAGTATTTAATAAAACAATATTGTTCACAGTTATTTAAAAAAATAAAATAAATCACCACCTGCTCGGAGACGCAATAGTGCTGTCTGATTTACATTAGTTCCCAAATCGCACTCAATGATTCATTCATGAACTGGACTGATCAAAATCAAAATGAGCCAATAAAAGAGGCTGTTGTGTCTGTACTTTCTGCTGAGCAGCAAACTTCCTCACCATGGGGTGACAGTGTCTCTGAAAGAACCACCACAGATCACAACCTCTTACTTTAGTTTTGTTAATATTTTGAATTTGATTTCATTTTTCTATTTTGTTTTCACTTTCAGTTAAAGCTTTAGAATTTTTTTTAAAGTAAATATCTATACAGTTTTTTTGTTTTTATTTATTAGTTTTAGTTATTTTAAGTAAAAATTTTAAATACCGGTAAATGTTGCCTTGGCAGCTAGCCGACCTAAAATAAGTTTAAGTTTTATGTATTTTGTTTTTTTTAATGTTATGTTTGTTTTTCAAGTAACATTTTTTCTTTATGGTTTTAGTTCTAACAATACTAACCCTGACCACAAATTAAATTAATATAATTTGTAAAGTCTCTTAAAGGAGCAGCTGCTGCCATTTGAATCAGGAATGCTAGTCATCCAACAACTGACTAGTTGTTTGAATTTTTCTTTCTAGGTTTTAAAGTTTATTTGAGCTTTTATATTTAACAGTACATGCTAATGTTGAACCCAAGGCTGTTTTGTTACATTTTTATTTGATTATAACTATTAATTGCTTAATTATTAATTATGTAATATTCATAATTTGAGTTAAACATGTTTATAAAGCAGGTGTATACTAAACAGGGAATTGTAAGAAATGTAATGAGTGTGGTTGTGATTCAGATGGACCAAATTCTGACACAAGTAGCAAATCATGGACAATAATCGATGTATTTTTTTTTACTGTTTATATAAGTACATTTATTTTGGGAAGCTTTATCATGTTGCAAAGCATGATATCACACTTTTTAATGCCACAATATTTAATAAAACAATATTGTTCACAGTTATTTAAAAAAATAAAATAAATCACCACCTGCTCGGAGACAATAGTGCTGTCTGATTTACATTAGTTCCCAAATCGCACTCGATTCATTCATGAACTGGACTGATCTGAATCTGATTGCTTTTGTTCAGAAGTGAACAACTCACTGGTTCAATGATCCGGTGAGAGTGAATCTCCATTTAACAATGCAATGAACGCTTCATGTCTGACTCTAAACTTGTCAAGAACTAGGAAAATTGAGTACTTTTGTACTTGTACTCATGTAAAACAGAAAAGGGGTATTTATTACTGGAGTGATATTTTATTAGGGTATCTTGTATCTTTATTAGGGATTTGTATACCTCATGCACCACTGATCTGCCATATTTTCTGGAGCATACGTTGTTGTTTTTTTTTAATGCAAACAAAACATTGTTTTTTTTAGTTTTTTGTTGTATAGTGCATTTTCCACATGGCTGTAGATTCAGTTCTGCTTATATAAATTCAGTAAATAAATTTAGGCTTGCCACAATAATTAATGTTTATTTTATACTTATATTCTTTATTCTTGTTCTGAATACTGTTAAATTTGAAGAATTTATTGTAGAGTGAAACTGAGTGTTTATAAATATTTCATTTTATTTTACAGTATTTCTAAATGTAATAAAATGTGATGTATACACTAATGCGATTAATGCTTTTTTTTCTCTCGACAATGCAATTTTGACCCGGCTTACAGTAAGGTGCAACTACTTATAATATAAATAGGCACTTTAATATCTGGCTCTGTTCAGTGACTGAGTGGCTGATACCTTCAGTAAGTGAAGCTCCCACAGTGCCGTGTTCTGAGGGTTGCAGTATTCAGGCACATCCAGCTCCGGCAGAAATACACCACTGCCCTGCATTTCATTATCCAGCAGGATGCCACACTTAGGGAAGGTCTACACAAACAGCACATACACAGAGAACTCATACATTCACCTCAGAAACCACAAACACGAAGGCCTCCGTTAGCGTAATGAAAGGAGGAACAGCACTGGCTCACATGCATCAGCGCTCTGTTGGCCGCCAGGATGCCCACACAGCCCACGCAGCAGGTGCAGACCGAGCGCGCTCAGTCTCTTCAGGAAGCCCTGCGCCCTCTGCAGAGTCACCTGCTTCCTGCGTTTGGTCAGCATGACGTCCAGACACTGCAGCACGATCGCTGTCTCCTCATTCGTTCCTCCTGCAGCCGATTCACACAATAGTTATTTCCATCCAAAAATTGAAATATTGCATAAAACATCTCAAGTGTTAAACCGGAAAAGCCTGTGACAATTTTTTTCCAACATGATATTTACTTGTTGCAGCCTTAGAGATCACAGATGAAACGCAGCAACGCATGCAAGACAGTTCTGGGAGGTAATTATATCAAATCATTTTAATGACAGACTTTTATGGAAACCCATTTTTGCCACAGAATAAAAAAAAGGAAATTGTGACTTTTTCATCTCACAGTTCAAAGAAAGAATTTGCAAGATATAGCTCAGAATTGTGAGATAAACTTTTTTTTTTTTCATGCAATTTCGTTTACATCTCACAATTCTGCATTTACATCACAATTAGAACTCTTTACAATCTTGCAATTCAGTTGTTTTGTTTTCACCATGGAATCAAAATTAAAAAAAACTTTTTTCCCTCACAGCTGCAACTTTATATCTCACAATTCTGAGTTTGTAAACAGCAATTCACAGAACTGCAAGAAAAAAAGTCAGAATTGTGACATAAAAAGCAATTACATTTTTTTTTTTTAATTTTTCATTCTGTGGTGGAAACCAAGCTTCCATAGACTTTGGCTCAGTCATTTCAGAGTGACTAAAAGAAGATTTTTGACAATGTGCAATGAGATGAGTCCACTGAACTATTAAAAAAAAAGATTTTTCACATTTTTAAATAAGACAAGACTACTGGAGAACATTTTACTTCAGTCTTTCTGCTTCAGAATCGGTGTTACTTGCTGTTTCTTTGTAATTATTTGTGAAATTTAGTAGCGATTTCTGAGTGAAAATTCTTTCAAAGTAAATCCTACACCACAATTTTGAATTCACTGTGGTTACTTAGTCCAAACACGTGATCTGTTGAGGCAGTCACAT